TGTGTGTGTGTGTGTGTGTGTGTGTGTGTGTGAGACTCGGACTGTCGTTGTGCTCGCTCATCACCGTAGATCAGCAACGGGGGCTCAAGGCCCTTCAGATAGCTGGCGAAAGGAAACGAGCCGAAGCGTCCAGAACATCCTTTCTTGCAAAAGAAAAAAAAAAAAAAAGATTCAGTCCAAACATTGTAGAAATTGTTTTTTCAGTATGCAGATGTCTGTGTATAACAGTGCAGCATCTGCCCCCTGCTGGCGTAATCATGAAATTGCACTGATTTGTTGTTTTGTGTTTTTTCTCCTGCAGCTGCATTGAAGGRGATGATGTCAATTTTATGCAACAGAAACTGGAAAAACAGGTGGGAAACAGACATCTATATGCATTTCTTATGCATCTGGTTAATTGTACTGTGRGTACGAAGCATCAGTGTAATTAAGGTTTTTAATTCACGCCTTGCTGGAAACATACTCCTCTTCAGTCGCACTGTTTATCCCAAACTTTGCCACATGCAGACAAATACACAAGCTCAACCAGCAGCAGATGCAGGCTTCAAAGGATTAACAAATAGGAATGTCCAAGTTAGATTGGTGGATTTGATGAAAAGTGTGAGGAGCTCTGGGATTATGGGCTTTTCCGAGCGCACCTCCCACCTCCCTTTCTCTCTCTCTGGCTCCAGTGTTAATGACTCATTAGCAACAAAAAACTGCGCACGCACACAAAACTCTCACTCACTTTGGTGCTTGGTCTTTGGCTTAGAGATCGGCCTTTTTGTTTCCTCTCGGGACCACTTATTGCAGAAGAGGCAGTTCTTAGATGTTCAAACTAAGCTGGAGAGCAGTCTGTTTTTTTTTATTTGACCCCATGAAAATGGAATTTAGAATGTTTTTACTTTAAAAGGAGCAAACAAGGGTTTTATAGTCGCAATGGAACGGGTTTGTACTCTTTTATTTTTTCTTTTTATCTATTCATGTCACATGTGAGGATGTTATACTAATAGTTTTTCAAGCATTTGTTTCTTTCAGTGATGGGAAAAGAACACCAAAACATTAATTTTACTCTTCTTCTGTAGGCTTTGAACAACTTTTATATTTATTCAGCACACACGACTTCAGTTCTTCGAGTTCTTTGCAAGAGCTTAAAATAAAAAAAAGACTCAAATCTAATATTTGCTTTTGTTCACACGCTTTGTTTTCAATATTTCGCCTTAAACAGGAAGGGTTGTGAACGCCTTCATGAAGTCACATCCTGATCCTTAAAAGTCAAGTTCTCAGTCCTAACAAAAGGACTGAGCTTCACAACGGACTGGATTAAAATAGGGTTTTGCACAGCACAGATGAATTGCCCGTTTCTTCTGACACTGTTCCATTTCTTTGTGCTGCTGCTCAGGTTACTGAGGTGTTGTCTAGTTGTGGCGTTGTAACAAAATATTACACGAATCCAGTTTCTTGCACAATCGCAGGAGGAGCAGATGTTGCCGTCAAGCAGAGATTCGAAAAACTGTGAAGCAGGTGTCCCGCAGTTTTCCCACCGTTAGCTGGTGAATTCTGAAAGCTTCTGTCYTATTTGGGACAAAGCTTCCTGCTCTCTTCCACTTCACTAAACCGCATCACTAACGCTGCTTGTTGTTGTGCATTTGGCACACTAATTAATGTGTTTGCGTAATCCATCTGCTGCTCTGACAACCCCACGGTGATTTATTTATTTTTTTTAGCACAATTCATTAAATCATGCAAGGCTGATCTATGTTTTAATTAGAGTGGAATACCAGGTGTAGTGCAGGTCCTTGTGTGTTTAATTGTGCCGGCTGTTTGCAGTGTTTACCAAGAGGCATAGGCTACACCTCATCATGCYTACTAATGTAATGCTTTCCACCCCGGTTCTGTTTTGCCTTTGAACCTGAATCCTATTTCCAGGCCCGGTTTTTGTGCACAGAGTGAGGTTCAGTGAACGCTTGTGTTTGCAGAGGGCGCTGCTGGAGCAGAAACAACGGAGGAAACGTCAGGAACCCCTGATGGTGCAGCCCAACACGGAGGCCCGGCCCCGCCGCCCCAGGGTACGGCGCGGTGAGGAACAGGCCCTGCTGGTGGAGTCCCAACTCACCGGCACCAATGATGCCGTCATCGATGGTAAAAAGAAAAAAAAAAAAAAAAAAAAAAAAAAAAAAAAGGGATACTTTTAATTCTTTATAGGTTAAACCAGGGGTTCTTAACCTTTTTGACTTCGGGGCCCAATTTGTTGAACATAAAGTAGCACAAGGCCCAGTCAGACATTACCAATGTATGGATCAAAATGATAATTATTCTAAATCTTGGTTTAATTTTTATTGTACTTGCATTATAACTAAACTATCATAACTAATATAACTAAATTAAATACACTTAGAGTTAAAAAGTAAAACTCCTGTCAAATAATCACAAGACATGATTATGACAAACATTTTCATATTGTAACCTGCCCATAACAATTATTTGAACAAATACAAAGGTCAGCCAACAGACCACTCAAGCTTCTCAGCACATACTGTATATATA